AAGGCATGAAGGTTATCTCAGCTGTCCAGTTGCAGTAAGCAAGCATCTCTAGGAAAAGCAGCCGGAGAAGATGATCACCTGAGTGACCACGGCAAAGACGACATCTCATGCTGCCCAGAGGAAGGAATTGATAAACCACCAAGAAAACCAAGAACACCAAATGGATAGACAGGATAAAGCGATTATTGACGTAGTGCTGGATGACTGGCTTCTCAGGTTGGATAGCATTCAAGATGCTACTGAGGAACATCTGAGGACCTCTCAGATGGTGTTCATGACACAGTTGAGCCTTCTGGACATCTAGTCGCTGATGCTACCATGCCGTAGCAGAAATTCAGAAGCTGCAAAGACAAAATTGCAGCGGGATCATGGAAGGAAGCATGAAACAAAGCAAAAACAAAGCTGATAAAACTCGATAAACATGGTACGGACGAAGCAGTAATAACTCTGAGGAGCTGCAGTGTGAAGGCAAAACAAATTATATACAGTACTGTAGAAAACCACTCAAGAGTAAATACTATTAAAATATAAGCATCCATAAAATGTGCAAATGAAATAGAGTCCCCAAATTCTTGAGAGCTAAATTGCCAGGCCTGAAATATCATATAGTAAAAGTTCAGTGTCCTTTTCTCTGAAGGTGATTGGAAAACGCAGCATGAAGCAGAGGAAAAGTGATTTCAAAATGCCAAAGAAACTTGACACGGAGTAGGCCAGACACAGGACTTTTCCTAAAATCTTAATTCCTCGCCCAAATCTAAAACCACACAGTTAATGTAACAGAGATCGCATTCCAGTACAGATTGTTGAAATATCAAGTTATAAATAACTCCAGGATTGACCATATGCTATTTAATTCATCAAGTGCTCTCAGTAATGTAAATGCAAATATATCAAAAGAGAATAAGAAAATAAATATAAAGCAGATGGCAATCACCTGAACTAATGAACTGAGTGAATATCACTGCAAGCACTTATACCACATTCCAATTTAAGGAGGAGAATAGCAGTAATGGAAGAACAGATCACAGTTTGTTAAAGATCTGGATTACATGACAAAATGGCAGTCAGCGTGTTAATTCAAACCAAATGGAGCCAACGTTTTAAAGTGTATATCTAAAACAATTTCTTCCAAAGGAAGGAATTTATATATATTTTTTGTTTATCACTGATTTAGGTACCAGAATTTTGCCTCTTGGTCATTAAGGCCCTTATTTAGATAGGGTTTGACTAAAGAGACTCGTGTCTTGCCCTTCTCAACGCAACTACAAGGTTCAAGTATCTGGATCTGTATGGTCCTAAAAGTCATGCCAAAGTACAACAGATGGACAGTGAATTGCATCAATTACCTCCTTGGTGGCACAGCTAAAAAAGCCCATAGCCTACAATGTAATGCTTGTTATCCCTAGGGTTATCAAATATTTGATAATTTATGGCAATATTTACAAACTGTGCATTCCCAACATGGATGTTGTCCTATGATAGATCTTTCCCAGCCTGGTTGCTGAACATTTCTTTGGCATCATGAATTCTTGGCATGAACCAACATAGCTTTAATATTCCTGCCTCTCCTGTATGTTATCGGGTAAATTTGTACACCTAGGGAGGCCATCTAGCTAATGCTAGTGTTTGGAAATAATATTCCTAATGTATTGGAAGTGATGGGTTTATAGATTAGATCCAGAATTATCTTTTTAGAGGGAAGTCATTCAATTTGATCAATTGATAGATCTAGCTTTATCAAATACTGATTGTATTTACTAAGTGTTCTAAACTGATGTGTTAAGAAGGATGCTTGTCTGCAAAATCTCTCATTGGTGAAGCACTTTCTTTTGAGTCTCAAAAAGTGGGAATATGGAACATTAGATGTAAAAGATGACATCTATCGGACCTCAAAAATGAGTTGACATCAGTGGGTTTTCTACAGATGTCTGTGGTAATCCGGTTATTCTTAAGGACAACCACAGTATCTAACAAAACACGGTTTGGATGTTGGTCTGTAACATCTTCTGAGATCCCACAGGTGATTGCTGGAAATCTCATGAGTGCTGGTGCTCTGATTAGATTTAAGCCTTTTTAATTTTTAAAATTAAACAGTTGGGGGAGTTTGCTGCAGAGGCCCTGACACTCACAGATCATATATCGTCAATTGCTGTGGTATGGCAAAAACTGGTAAGTCTTCCGTGCAGCCTTCCTCAACCTACCTACTGATGCTGGTTGGGAATTCTGGGATCTGTTATCCCAACTGCTTTGGAGGGTGCCAGGTGGAGAAGGTTACCTTAAGCAGTGTTACTTATCTGACTGCAGACAAGGCAGCTTCAGAAATTCAAGTGTGTTGGAACTCACGAGGCTGGTGTGGGAGGCTGCGTGTTGTAATCCACTGTGAAACTGTTCGTGTTTCCATTCCCATCACGGATCAGGACCTCTGCTGAAGGAAAGCAGCAGTTTGACCTGCAGAGGAGACAAACGTAGAAGAGGGCTAAGCGGGAGAGGGTAAAGTGGATGACCAAAGTTTTGGTGCGCTCATGGGGGTTGGAAGGCAGGATGGAAAAGCAGAAAAGAGATTATAAACTGGGCATGAAAATCTGCACCTCTTCAGATATTACTGGATTCTTGCCTTGGGTGACCAGCAGACTTGGATAAGAACTGCAAATTGCCTACTCTTGATAGAAATGGTATTAGTTATTTGGTAACTAATAGTTAATTAGGTATTATTACTGGTAGTTATTTGGTAACTAATAGTTAATTAGGTATTATTACTGTATTTAACTTAAGAGATCGAAATGGCTGCCCATCTCACAATAGTGACTCTGGACGGTTCTATCCGTTCAATCGTGTCCGATTCTCTGCAATTCTATGAACTAGCTCCATATTTCCCAATCTTGTACGGCTTCTTTCAGTTGTTTTATGTTCCTATTGATGTTGGCTTTGATGGTGTCTAGCCACCGTGTTTTTTAGAGACCTTGTTTCCTTTTACTGCTGACCGTTCTGAGCAAAATTATCTTTTCCAGTGAGTTTGATGGCTGAAATAAGCAAGGTGGAATTTTGTGATTTTGCCCTCCGGTGATATGTCTGGTTTTATATGCTCCAGGACTTGCTTATTTGTCACTTTTGCTGTCTAAGGAATGTGCAGGAGCCTTCTCCAACACCACAGCTTGATTTTCCTCCTGTCTAGTTTTTTTCATGGCCCAACTTTTGCAACTGTAGGTAGCTATGGGAAATTTGATAGTGTGGACTAATCTGCATTTAGTTGCCACGCTGATGTCCTTGCTTTTCCATAGTTGATTCATGCTCATCATTGCTGTGCGACCCAGTGCGATTTGACGTTTTATTTCTGGACTGCATTCACTGCTTTGATCAATCTGCGATCCTAGGAAAGTGAATTCTT